CTTTGTAGCGCCCAAGGTCAGTGCAGAGAACAAGACCGGAGGATCTCATCGCCTCGGAAATTCAGGCAGTCGTCTCAGTCTATTCACTGAAGGAAACTGGAACACAAATGAAGTTCGCAGCGCAGCCGCCCGACCCCTTTGTGACCTTGCATGATCGCAGTGAAACGAAATGACTGAACGTTTGAAGCAAGAAGTTGTTTTCGATTAAAAAAAAAAAAAAAAAAAAAACTTAAAAAGTTAGCCGGAGTGTTGCGCAAGCAGTAAACGTGGCTCCTGGCTCCTGTTGTGAGTGATGCATGTTGATGTTTTTTATGATCACTCCACGTCTATTCTTCTAATCCCGTCGGCTGTTTATGGTACCATTCGGTCTATTTGCTCCGTCGGAAGCTTTTCTCAGAGGCAGTAAATAAATAATGGTCCGAACAATGGCAGGTGACGATACTTTCAAATAAATTATTCTTGATGAATTGGTTCGGAACTGGCGTGGGCAAACTTTTTGACTCGCGGGCCACACGGGTTTGTCCTAAAATTGAACAGGGGGCCCGGGTCAGGAGCAGATAGATGTGTGCGTTTGTGGGAACTTAGATAAATGCTACGTAAAAGTCATGCATAAAGGCTAAAATTTTCTACGCCACCTATTGGGGAAACGTGGGTATTGCAGGGAAAAGGCAGAAGTCTAATGATAATATAACCAAATTAAAAGAAAAGCAAGTGTCAACTTTTTGATCACTTTCAGAAGCCACACACACACACACACACACACTCTCACACACACATTGTATATCATATTTGTGGTTCACCATGAGTGTGTTTTATATAGCAAGGCTCTGTTGTTTCTATCATATTAAAAACGTCTAAAAGCCTCACGAGGCATCATACGAAATGTCATTCCCCTGGAAAATATTGATCCTAGCGCTCTTTGCATTTCTGTCGTGTTTTCACTCTTCTTCTGTTTGTGTCGCGTGCTTGCATCACAGAAAAAAAAGAAGAAAAAAAAACAGAGGCGAGATTGATTTGTCGGTGGTCTGCAATCGGCATTTGAAACTGATCAGACATCACCGTGACTCCTGAGAAAATAGTTGACATTAATGACAGAAACCTGCGCAGAAAAGGTCATATCTGAGTCGATCATGAATTGTTCACATGTGAAATGGATTCTTAGGGAACTTGATTTTAGAAATACCTGCTTATTTTTTTCACCGTGCTTTGAGTAGTCGTTGACCCTTTTTGGCAGGGTTGGACTTTGGAAGAGCTAATTCGTTGTTAGCCGTAGCGCCATATTTAAGCGTTTATCTCCTTATGTAGGTTGTACTCAATATTTGGATATAATGGAGGTGTAACTACAGTGATACAGAGAAAGGGAGTCTGCAGGGGAAGGAATGCAATTATTGAATCGACGAGCCAAGATCCAATGAGTTGATTGGTTGGAGTGTGCGAGTGCTTGCGGATGTGTGTGTACGCCCACAGGTGATTTTTTTTTTTTTTTCCTCACATCGACTGATCTGACGATAAAGTCGAAGGCAAGTCAACGACTAATTAAATGACGTCATCGCATTGACAGAGGAGGAACTGCGCGGACACACACGTCCGTCAAACTCCCCCGTTCATTTCCTTTTGTAGCTTTTGCTAACGGAGAGAACGTAGCCGTCAGGTTATCTGTCAACTCCATGATCACATGATCATATTTCACTTTTTTTACTCATGGCTTCGTGAACGGGTGTTCTTTTTTAAATGCTCCTTCCGCGCAGACGCATTTGACGGCTGCTTTTAAAGCGATTATGACTGCTGGTGAAGTTGATGATCGTTGACATATCGGCGTAAGCCAATCGGAGTTAAAGAGTGCGTTGGCAGACAAAGACAAAACACTTTTGACCTTTCGAGTCATCACCGGGAACGTTAACACCTCTGCACACGTTGACGCGTTGATGAATCGTTTTTTTTTTTTTGTCAATACCTTAATTTGTGCAGTAAAACACCGGTCCCCAACCTTTTTTGTTCCAATGATCGATTGGCCGGTATCAGCCGTTACTGCGTAATGTACTGCGTACTGGTAATACCATTGCCAGATTAAACTAAAGGCTTATAACGTTATTTTTTTAATGACGTAAATTAGTAAAACTCCTACTGCGGACCGTTTCCAAATGTTCTATGGACCGGCACCGATCCCCGAACCAGGGGTCGGGAACCCGTGCAGTAAAACACAACTGGACTTGTAGCTGTGACCCTTCTTACAACTTTAACAATGCGGAGCTGACATGTCATATTTCCGTTATTACAGAGGTCAGAGCAGGAAACAAAATCAGAGCTTCTCAGAATCTTTTTTTTTGTTTGTTTGTTTGTTTGTTTGATTGGATGAATCGTGTTTGTCTTGAGGAAGATGACGAATAAGGGAGCGAGAAAAAGAGAGAATGAAAATATGTTATGACATTCACAGATGCCAGGTCTTTCTCGGGGAGAGAGATATCAAAGTAGGGGGCTATTGATCCCTGTCAACGATCGATACAAAACCACTGCACCTTGGAATTCGCTGCTCTGCATTCTGCCTACGCCTCCGAGTGGTGATCATGACACCGGATCTAAAAGGGAAGGTGCCAGTTTATAAATGGACACGGTCAGTTTATGACATATATGTATGTTGGCAAAATACGTCGCTGGCATTTCTTTAGGTTTGTGTGCGTGTGTGTATATACGGAAAATATCGAAGGGGTTTGCTTTATGTGAGGAAGTCGCCTGTCACTGACAGGACACAGGCGGTTCCCCCCCGAGGCTGACCACGCTGACAGCACCTGGCTGTACCGATAAAGAACAGCTGCTGTTGGGCCTCCGGTGCAAAGAGTCCCCACGTTGTCCACAGGTGCATCTTAAGGCTGACTTTCTTACCGTTTACTGTTTAGCCCTCCCGTCCCTGTTAATTTCACTCGCTGTTGTTTCACGTCGTCTGAGAGAGAGAGCGAGAGGGGGCGGGGGGGACAGACGGAAAAGAAAGACTTTTATCGATTTCTACGCCACGACAACACTTATTGTCCCGAAGTGAAAGGCTCTTTTCGCTAACCTGCCACGCTTGACCAACCCCAACCTCTCGATCTTTCTGGCCCATCTCTCCGCATTCACTCGACAGGTTTCAGCCACAAAGAGGCAGCTGGCACAAAAATCACACGGACATGCTCCGACTTCGCTCTTGCCTCGACTTTAGCCCTGTCATAAATAAGAAAAAAAAAAGACCACAAATCCTGAGCATGCCAATAACTATGATAGCTATGTCCTACGGCAATATTTGTAAATGCATCCAGTTGTTGTTCATCCTAGACAAGTAATTGCTGACTTCGGCAATTTTCTCCATTGTTTTAGATACATTTTGCTTTTGACCAAATAACTTTTGTATCCAGTTTTCATCCATAGTAGTGATAGTGGTTGAAGTGGTACAATATTTGACCTCTGACATCATTTTGACATCACAAATTGCTGGTGGAGAAAACATCATGTAAGGGTCATTGTAAAATAATAATATTTGGTATAGGGTAAACTAAACTCATTTCCCCCCTTAAAATACTAAGAGGTAATTATTTGGTGCTAAAAGTGTCCTTTTAGTCACACTGTGCACTAAAGTACAGTACAGTACAGACATCTTCTGTTTGAATTGTGTTCTCTTTCCGGTATAAAAAAAAAAAAAGTTCTGTAAACAACAAACTACCCAGATGCATTGTTGCTTTTCTGCTCTCAAACCTTTGCCTCGGTCTCGGGGAAATGAGATACAACTCCAGCTCATTTGCCCAGAATCTTTGGGCCGAAGTTCTCGAGCACAAAACGTCAGAGCGTCCCTAAGGGGCCGCAGCGCCCCTTCAACAGAGGTAAACCATAGGGTTTGCTGCATTCTCTCTGTTCGCTCGTACAGTTAACTGATGGATCTTTTTAACAATTATCAAAAAAACAAAAAAAACAAAAAAAGAAAAAAGTAATTTCGAATAATGATTTGCCTTAACTGGTTTTTCAAATTTCTCAAACACCCTGCAGAGACTTTGTAGAAAATATAATGCAGAAGGAGGAGAATAATCGTGTAATGTATGACTCAATGAAGTAATTGCTAAGCTGCTGCTGATGAATTAGTACGGACATTTTCAATCTCGAACAACAGGGAACAAAATGTGTTCTCTGCCTTTTAAAACACAAAAATGGTAATATTTTAATTTTTAAATAATTTGTTTACATTTCAGTTGGCAATGTTAACATTTATTTTTTAATGTTTTATTAGTATTGGGTTAAAAAAAAGAGAAAAATATGAATCTTATTCTCAGGTTTTAGAGACTTGCCCCCTACACAATTTGAACAACCAACCTTCTGATCTGGGGTCAGATGTACTCCAATTGCGCCATAAGATCTTTAAAATAGCTGCTTAATGATTTTTTAGAAAAAGGTGGATTTAAAAAAAAAAAAAAAAGGAAAGAAATTTAAAATGAGAACCTTGTTGTCCTCCCAAAATCGTTAAGCAATGTTTTTATTTATTTATTTTGAGTTTGCGGGAACTCCGTCCTCCCACAGTCCAAAGAGAGAGGAGACTAGGTTGATTAGACAATGGAAATTGACCAAAAAAAAAGAAGAAAAAAAAGAAAAAAAAGAGCGGGAAACAATGGAAGGATGGACATAGGAGGTAAGGCTAGTTGATAGCTTTATTTTTAGTACATAAAACTTGAAGACTCATTCGTCCACAGCATTTTTTTACTTTGTCTTCTCTTTTCTCAAACAAGCTCTTTTGAATAGTTGCTAACTCCGTTAGCATGCAACACCCATTCAAGTGGCCATTTTCAGCCCCAATGTACACAATGTAGTTTGTTTAGCACTGGATATTTCTTCCTAAAATATTTAACTGTCTATGTCTATGAAAATACAATACCTTTGTTTACATAAATTAAAAAAATTCTATTTCTCATTTAGAGTTTTCCTTAAATAATAATAATAATAAACAAAAAATACTCGTATACGTATCCAGAATGGGGCCTTCACGGAGAGGAAAGTTGAAATTTACGACCTTACTCTTGACGCTGAACACAACTGTGCTACCGCTGCGCTCTCGTTTGTGGGTCTTGTAGTCCTTCCTGTTGCGCCTCTAACAAAGAGTTCGCCTTCAGAAACTACAAGATCCAGAGTGAGGGACGGGCGGAAGGAGCGCCATTAAACCAAACACTAGGCTCCTCTGTGAAGATGTCTCATGTTGTGAAGAAGAGAAAATTAGATAAAACGCACCAGGATGCTCTTTATTTTGACAGCTACACAGATGTGACGATACACGAAGAGATGATTGCGGACTACGTCCGAACCAACACGTACCGAACGGCTATCATGCGTAACAGCGAGCTAATTCGGGGGAAAGTCGTCCTCGACGTAGGCGCAGGAACCGGCGTTTTAAGCGTGTTCTGTGCTCAGGCAGGAGCCAGGAAGGTGTTCGCGGTGGAGGCCTGCTCCATCGCCGAGCAGGCGGTGAATATAGCCATACAGAACAACCTACAGGACCGCATAGAGGTGATTCGCGGCACGGTGGAGACCGTGGACCTACCGGAGAAAGTGGATGTGATCGTGAGTGAGTGGATGGGCTACGCGCTCCTGCACGAATCCATGCTCAACTCGGTGTTGTACGCCCGGGACAAGTGGCTGAAGCCGGGCGGCCTTATTCTACCAAACAAAGCCGAGCTCTACATCGCTCCGATCAGCGACCCGATGATCGAGGACCGCCTCCGCTTCTGGTACACGGTCAAGGACCAGTACGGCGTGGACATGTCCTGCATGACCGATTTCGCCCAGAGGTGCATCATGAACTCTGAGATCACCGTGAACTTTGTATCGGCCGAGGACGTCCTCTCCCATCCGGCCCGTTTCGCAGAGCTGGACCTGCACTCGGTGACCGCGGAGGATCTGCGCTCGGTCAAGGGTCAATTCAAGTGTCAGGCGTTCGGTTCCGCGGCCGTGAGTGCGTTCTGCCTCTTCTTCACCGTGACGTTCCCGTGTCCGGACAAACCGAAGACCATCGTCCTCTCCACGTCCCCTTTCCAGCCGGACACGCACTGGAAGCAGGCGATGTTGTACCTGGACGCACGGGTGGATGTGGAGCAGGACACGGTGGTTTCCGGTGAGGTCAACATGTTTCCCTCGGAGGACAGCGCCAGACACATATGCATCAGTGTGGACTACACCATAGGGGACCAGGAAAAAGAGAAAAAAACTTTCTCCATCCCTGATTGGAGCTCCGGTCCTCAGTCCTAACACCAAGGACCAAATAGTAGTAGTAGTACCGAGGATTTGACCTTTTTTTTTTTTCTTTTTTTTTTTTTTGCATCATGCAGGGGTGTCAATTTAATTTTTAGCCTAATTAATTGCATCTATGATTAATTAGGCAGAGAGCAGATTAGTAAGTAAGGAGTAAGAAAAGAGAGAGAGAAAATTGCAGAGCATGTGGAAAAAGTCTAAAACTACAAACTTTTTTTTTTTTTTTTTTTTTTTTTTTACAGCTCCTTAACCAATCTGTCATCTCTGATGGTGTATATTGTTCATTTTGGGTGACATTTTTCATTCTGAAAATGAAAGACTTCCCTGATGCTGCCGCAGTATTAACAAACTTTGACTGCCGTCCAATATATTTGAAGAATCCGTTTGTTTTTTTATATATATAAATACACATTGCATTTCAAAGACTCAGAACTCTCCGAATGTGAATAATATGGATATTATTATTAGTACTATTATTTTATTGTTAATAATAATAATAATCATTAAATATTATTTTGCCTACTCGAACCTCATCAGCCAAATGACCGCTCTACTCGCACTACTTCAAAATAAAAGCATACACGTAGCTTTTTGACAAGAAACGCTCGGTTAAATCGTAGTTCTTTTCATTTTAACAAGCAAATTATGTTTCCCTGAGATATAATGTTCATTTTGTCTTCGTCAAAGATTTGAGTCCTGTTACATTAAAAAAAAACATTTCCAACCCGTTAAACCAGTGTTTAAAAAAAAAAAAGAACATTTCCAACCCGTTAAACCAGTGTTAAATGAAAACATTTGAATATTACTGAAGTATTGAACATTCAATAATATTCTATAAATGAGGCAAAGAATCAGATTGGGACTTGCAAAGGAACCCCCGAAGAAGGAAACGCTGCCTAAACTTATAGTCCCCAAAATAAAAGAATTAGAAAGGGAAGAAAGGGAAAAAAACGCTTTGTTATTTTGTAAAATAAAGATTTTTTTTCAAGCTGTTTTAGACTGTTTGTTTGTTTGTTTGTTTGTTTGTTTGTTTGTTTGTAATTTCCACCTCATATGTTATCAAACCGATCAAAGCCGATGCATTTATCTGAGTGGACGCTTTAGAATGGGTGTTAAGAGGTCCAAATATTAACACTGAATTTAATAAACAAAAACCTTGTCCAATAAATGGCATGATATGATTGTCATATAGATATTTACGCGTCCACTGGCTTAGCAAAAGGTTTTTGGTTTCCGAGATGCCCGTTTCGTTTCGTGTTGCTGCTATTCGTACCCAAAAACTTCAGCCAAGTTCTTGCGCCATAAAATTTCTAAGCTAATTTTAAAAAAAATTTAAAAATCTCTGTATCTTTTACCTGGCTGGTGGCCTGCAAAGTTTCTCCCTATGTTTTTTGGGTTTGACTGCCTCATTACTGCCACGTAGGTGCAAAGCTGTATTGCAACAACTGTGTGTCTGATAAAAAATGTAATATCTGGAATGTCTAGTATTCATTAGCGATACATTCTCACGGTGCTTGTGGCGCCCAGTTTTCCTAAACTGCGGGTTTTTTAGGCCCTCTCGGAGGCGCTTGCGATCCAACTGTGGGCTGCACCCCCATGGTTGAGAACCACTGATAAATATGATTTTGAATGCCATCCATGAGTGTCAATTGAGCGAATACTCGTCGCGTTAGTGTAATGGGTATAAGTGCGTATACAGACTGAGACACACAAGCTGTCTTACCAAAAAAAAAAAGAAGCTCGGCAGAGCTGGGACGTCTAACTCTCTGATCAATCTTTTCATGCGTATTGTTTTGAATCTGATTAAAACGCTGCATTCAGATGAGAATTAGAACGCTATATTGACGCGGCCCAGCTGTTGTCAGGCAGCAGGCTGCGGTGTTGTGATCTGAATGGTCTCATTGTTTTCGCTTACAACGAGAACATGCTCACGTTGACAGAAACAGGCCTTGGATTAAAAATATATAATTTCACTCACTTAATTTCCCAGCAGCCTCGGCTCAGTTTCATGACGCCATGCACATATATATATATATATATTTAAATATATATTTATTATCATGCATGTGTATGTATAAATATATGTATATATATTTATATATTTAAATATATATTTATGCACATGTATGTGTATGTATAAATATATGTATATATATTTGTATATTTAAACATTTATATGCATGTATGTGTGTGTATAAATATATGTATATATATATTTATATGTTTAAATGTATATTTACGTACATGTATGTATAAATATATGTATGCATACATGTTTATATATTGGTTTAATATATTTTCATATTTTATATTTTTTTTTTGATCAATTTGGTGTTGTCCTAAGCTACTCTCGTGGCCCTTCAAATGCCCTTTGGAGTAATTTAAACAATATAAACATATATTGTTAACATATATATATATTCAAAATTTGAGAGAAGTAAAACCTGTTACTTTTAAAGTATATATACTCCAAATGAAATTTAAAAAATGCAGCGTTAAAAACACACTGTCCTTTGTGCTCCGGTGGAAATACTGCAGTTCCTCCAACGACGGCTACCGTTTGATTCTGTGGTATTTTCCCCATTCGCAAAGACGCGGTGCTTGTTTTTTTTTGCTTCTTGTTGACCTTCCGCGTATATTTTAGTCTCTTGTTTCACAGCAAATGTCCTGTAAATGAGCACACTACAGTAAATCTAAAGATATGAGGGCAACATCTGTCTCTTCACAAGTGCAAGTTTGGTTTAGCTACGACTGAACATGGTAAAAATAAATAAAAAAAAATAAGGAAGAAGTATTTATACGCGACTGAACATGGACATGGAAAAAACATGAAAAATAAATAAAAAAAATAAGGAAGAAGTATTTATACTCTGCTTCTCCTGTTGTTATTATTTTTTTTTTCTATTTCTCTCAGATTCCCCCGTCGAGGTGTTATGTCTATCACAGTCTGTGTTGAACATACTGTAGTTAAGAAGGCAACCTGTCACCACATCATGTCAAATCCTGTTATGGAAAAAGAGCTAGAGCCGGTACCTTCCAGTTTGTTTTTGTTGTCATCTTGTTTGTACTTTTGTGTCAGGGAAAAAAAAAAAATTAATTCACACACATGTCAGTCAAAATGTATTCTGCACTTGCAGCCGCAGTGGCTCAACCTCCTCGACTTCTTCAGGTGCCTGAAAGTAAATGCCCTGCAGGCAGAACAAAGGACGGTGTCCTGAGAATCGAAAATGTCAGATGCACTGCAGGCAGCTACTGTTAGACCCAGAATCACACTTTGGCATGCGCGGCCACTCCTGGCTGCTGAGCGCTAAACTAATTGTGATCCATTCCTGCCTGGAATGATTTGGAAACCATTAAGAAACAAGTGTTGAAACTTGAAATAGGATTATTTGTCTTGTATTGCATAGCAATTTAGGAGCCAATCAATAGACAATACTCTTAATCTAGCTCATTTCAAGACTCATTGTTCAGAGGGGAGACGGTGGAGCCAGACGGGCACAGCACTGCAGTCCAGGGAAGCTATGAGCTGGTGTCACAACATTTGCATTTGTGTTGAACTCCACAGTAGCAGTGACAGCTGGAAACGTCGAAGGCTATCAGCAAATAGACAGCACGGAGAGAATCTTTTCATGTTAGGTAGTCTGGGATGATTCTTTTAATGCCATCGCACATCATCAGATTTTTTTTTTTTAGTATCACGGAATCACTCGGTTTAACACTTTTTTTTCGGACAGATTTACATACACGGAGGGTTTCTCCAACTTACGTCGGCGTTCCGTTCGTACGGTGTGACGTAACTCGATTTTTTGCGAAGTCGGAACTCGCACGTTGTTCGTGAGTACCTATGTCGATCACCTACGCTAACACGCCGAACATCGTAATCCAGAACACAAAAACATCAGAAGGGTCTGACTTGTGCCTGGGAGACATAACGAAGGGCAAAAAATTCCCGGAAAAAAACAACACAAATGGCACGTAGTCGTTCCGCGCCTTGTGACGTATTTGTCGGCTACGATTCAAACTGGATCCCGTGCGAAGCTAATCACCGAGTTTTTACTTTTTTAATTTAAAAAATTTACGTTAGATGTTGACATAACCAAGGAGTGCCGCCGTAAACCGAGGACCCGCTGAATTCCTGATTTTGTATAATAAAAGCCGCGGTTATTTTTTGGGTTCATAAATCCCGGAATATTCCAAAAAAAACGTTAATATATGATTTGCAACAAAATATATCCCGTCATTGGTTATTGAACTTGTGGATGTGTGGATGGGCAGATAGGCAGGTTGTCCTTCAACCGGAAGGTCGGAGTCCAATCCTAACTTCTCTTAGTCTGCATGCTAATGTTTCCTTATGACACACACACACCCCCCCCTTAGTTGCTCCTGGCAGCTGTGTCACAGATGGAAAAGAGAATAAAATGTGTGTGCTAAAGTTGTTTTAGCATTTTAAGGACGGCAGCTCAGTGAGCCCACCTGCTCAATGTGTAGCATTTCGATCCAAACAACGGGTTATCGGTACATTCAATTATATATATATATAAAAAATAAGTCCCTACATTGTAAGATAATATTAATTCATTTACAAAGTTAAATAGTAGAAAATGTTTTTTGTACCCAGAGTTACTGTAGGAACAAGGCGAGAGCGCACAGCGTCTAATCACGGCCTCTCATTCATCCTCCTATGCTAATGACACCAGGAATAAGCCAATAGGATTCAATTCCCACACTTGGTTACAGTAACCGATATTTCTGTCAGCATATCCTGTGAGGACAAATTGGGAACGCGGTATTGACAAAAGCTAATTTGTGGACCGACCCCCAGAGACGAGCACTTCATTTCTCTAGAGCTCAGCCGGACGGACTATTTGTCATCATTATCACTGGCAACAGGAACTGACCTATGTGTTTACTGCAAACAACCAAAATAACTCTGTCCGACTGCAAACTCCGGCACTTTCTTTCAGCAGTAATAAAAAAAAAAAGTCCCCTTTTTTTTAGGGGGGGGGGGGGGGGGGGGGGGGTGTGTTTTTTTTTGCCCGCGAGCCACGGTTTATTGTTTATGCATCCAGCTGAAGGCGCCCGACGCTGCGACCTCATGGACGGAGAGTGCACCGAACAAAAAGGACGGATGAATTTGAACGATGCCTCTCGAAAAAAAAAAAAAAGATTCTCAAAAACCACATTAACCTGATTGAGACGACCCCCAACTCGCATCACGCCCAAGGCAGGCGGGGAACGCTGGGATCGTGACCAAACTGTCAATCCGACAGACTCACTGTGATCGCATGCGCTCCTCCTCCCTGCTAATCTATTTTCAAACATGAACTTTTTGGATTATTCTCTAAAGTAATTCTTTGCGGGTTTTGTTTTATAACTAAATATGATAATACAATTTGGGCGAGATTGCTTATGCATAAGCAGCCGAGATCTGCAGGCAACGGATTAAAGTGGAGGTTGGTGCCAGACGGAGGGAGGTTTAATAATCCTTAAGACGCAATGTCCAAAGTTAAAAAAAAAAAAATGATTTGATTCTTTTGGAAGTACCCTACTAAGATGCCATATCAACTCAATGTTTCAACCAAGTTAATGAAATACAGCTATATGAATCACCCGCAGAATGGATACGTCCCGGATGCAAATAAATGCAAAAACATTAGATAATATTCATATTTAAAGAAATATAATTTGACCAAACATCACCAACAT